TATGTTAAAAAAGGTAGGGGTGGACTTAAAAAAATTTGGGCACATTGTATAAAAAACAATATTAATTTATTAGTGTTGATATGTATATAATCATATAGACCACATGGGTCTACGCTTCGTTGCTACATTTCAGGGAGATGAATTATTCTCCCTTAATTATCCATTATTACATTTTTTATTTATTTCCTACTTATTATGATGATTTGAATTTCCTTTCAATTGTATAGGGTTAGTCCGAGTTGTATGTATTTGTTATTTGCTTGATAAAAAAATCAAAGAGCTTTTTTCCTCTAATAAAGTTCCTCCTCAATTCCTCATCATATCAGAGCAAGGAAACAAACCATAGCTTTTTTTTATATTTCTTATTTGCGTAATAAGAAAATCAGAGAGTTTTTTTCCTCTGATAAAGTTCCTCCTCAATTCCACATCATATCAGAGCAAGGAAACAAACCATAGCTTTTTTTTATATTTCTTATTTGCGTAATAAGAAAATCAGAGAGTTTTTTTCCTCTGATAAAGTTCCTCCTCAATTCCACATCATATCAGAGCAAGGAAACAAACCATAGCTTACACGACAGCAACGGCCTCCTCCGAGAACACTCGGGTCAGAATCTCTTTTGCTTTGTCCTCGTAGACAACCAGAATCTAATCAAGTAGCCAAAATCTCGGTCTAGGCAGCAACGACAGCGACCTCACCCCAGCCCACGACCCAGACTTGCGATCTTATCTATCGAAGGGAATCTGGAATACTGAGAATCTCCCTCTAGTGGATATCTCAGACTCTCAGGGCGACATAATTTCTCTCTAGTGAAAATCCTGTGTACAATAAATAGTTAACCTCTTTGCTAGAAATCCTATGTCGGTGACAAATAGTTTCTCATTCCAATGAAAATTTTATATCGGCGACAGACAATTTATCCCTCTATTGGAAATCCTCATGATAGCCAAATACGACATGAAAGTTGCTTCTTCCTTTTCAAAAGTAAAGTCTGAAGTCGAGCCAAGAATGATTGGTTCTATAGCAACTAATTTATCGCCTTGCATCACTGATCACAAACGGTATGGCAACAATTTCCTCAAATCTCAATATGTTTCATGTACTTCTGTGGTAAAGGAAAATATGATTGTCTCACAGAGAAAAAGTCCTACAAAAATTATTGATCCTAAACATCAGACAGTGAAAATTGAATATCACATGGTAACGTCATGGCTTGTCAACTCCTTGATCACATAAATTAGAGAAAACTTTCTCATGCATAAAACGACAAAAGAGATATGGAAAAGATGCGCACTAAAAAAAAAAAAATACAAGGCTAGATGATTAGTTACCCTTCATTAATAATCACACCACAACTACTTGGATTTTTTTCATGAAAGAAAAATCTACAATTTTTAGTATATTTGAAACTTTCTACAACATGTCCTCACCCAATTTCAGAACAAAATTCATTTTCTCAAAACCGACAATACAAAATACTACTACAACTCCACTCTCAGCTCTTATCTATCCAAAAATAGTATCATTCATATAAACTCGTGTTGACACACCCTGAAAAAATAGAGTGTTTGAGAGAAAGAAAATATATCTCCTCAAGGTGAAATGTTCAATTCCATTCGCTAACAATTTGCCCAAAACTTCTAAGGGGGTGCAATTCTCACATCCACTTATCTCATAAAAAAGATGTGCATTAGAGTGTTAAACTTCAATAAATCTCTCAAGACCATCATAAAATCTTACCCTCACATTTAGTCTTTCGCCTCTAACCTGTCACTAACAATTTTTTGTTACATTTGTTCAGCTACATCAACCACATCAGACCAAACTTGACCTCAGGTCAATCAAATGCATCTTTGTGGGCTGCTCTTCAAACAAAAATGGGTATAAATGCTGCTCTCTGGAAACATAAAAATTCTACAGCTCTATGAATGTCATCTTCTTTCAAAATCAATCATATTACCCCAAATGTAACATTCAAGGGAAGAGTTAAAGAAAATATAAGATTTGGGTACCATTCAGAAACATCAAGCTCCCCACCCTGATATTCCTCATGAGCTCACCCTTGTCTCCACTATCACAAATTAATCTAAAAATGAACATATTGCTCCACTAAATCTCCCACAGCTCCCAACAACAATGAAGAGCTTTGTGTATATACCAAAAAAAAAAAAAAAAAAAACCAATAAGCATGTAAAGAATAATATGCAAAATCAAGAATGCAAATCAAAGGAACCAACTCCACACACCAAGTATTCACATAAAGATTGGGTCAACACATCAAAAGAACCAAGAAAAAGGAGCACGTGAATGCGCAAAAACACCCGATAGAGGAATTTGAGACTTATGAAATATTATCATCTTACAAATCTTTTATTTGGAATTTGAATAATGTGTGGGTCTCCAATTCAATCCAAGATGCCTCATTTATTTCTCTTTGGAAAAAAAACTATGGAATAAGAGATTTTTGCCCTTGAGAAGAAAGGTGCATGGATCAAAACAAATTTACCAACTGGGAAAAGAACTATAAGGTGCAAATGGGTATTCACTGTTAAATACAAAGCAGATGGGAAAGGTTCAAGGCTAAACTTGTAGCAAAAAAGTTCACGTAGTCTCATAGGATCGACTACCATAAGACATTTGCACCGGTGGCAAAACTCAACACAGTAAGAATATTAATTTCATTGGTTGTCAAATGGGGTTGCCTTTTGCATCATCCTGACATCAAAAATGCATTTCTTAATGGGGATATTAAGAAAAAAATGTATATGGAAATACCTCCAGGATTAAAGAACAACACAAATAAATAGCTAGTGTAAAAACTAAAGTAATCATTATATGAGTTGCAACAATCTCCCAAAGCATGATTTGAAATGTTCGCCAAGACTATTCTTGTAAATGGGTACAATCAATGTCAGGCTGACCACATTTTATTTATGAAATCAAATAAAAAATGTAAGATATAAATTCTTCTTGTATATGTAATGTAACTTGAAATAATTAAAAGAATAATGGCTTCTGAGTTTGAGATCAAAAATCTTGAAAATTTAAAATACTTACTGGGAATGAAAGTAGCAAGATCCAAAGAAGACATTGTCATATCCCAAAAAAAATATATATATCCTTGACTTATTAAAAGAGACGGGAATGTCGGTACGTAAACCAATAGATACTCCCATGAATTCCAATCGATGGGCACAGAAATAGAGGATAACACCCATTTAAAAAAGGAAGGCATTAGAGGCTTGCAGAAAAAATTATTTATTTGGCACATATAAGAACCAACATTTCTTTTTACTTTTGTTGTGAGCCAACATATGAAGGATCCAAATGAACATTTAGAAGCGGCTTGCTGAATCTTAAGGTAACTAGAGATGGCTCCAATAAGTGGATTAATATTCTAGAAAACCAAGAACTATAACATTAAGATCTCCACAGATGCTAGCTGCAAAGGAGAACTAACTAGCAGAAAATATACCATGAGTTACGTTCATTTATAGGGATAGTCTGGCTACATGGAAAAGTAAAAAAGCAAGCTGTGGTGGCAAGAAGTGGAACAGAATTTCAGTATCGTGTCTTGACCTTAGAAATTTGTGAAGAGATGTGGCAATAGAAATTACCGATGGAACTACACATGGAGAACAAAAGTAATGTTAAAATGTTCAGTGATAGTTAATTAATCATCAATATTTTAAAGAGTGTGGTATAACATGATCAAACCAAATATATAGAGATTGACAGACACTTCATCTCCGAGTATAAGATTGTTGATATAACTACTCGCTCTTCCTCCGCACAATTTTAGTCATCTCAACAGCAAATTTGGGATGTATGATATATGCAATCAAACTTGAGGGGGAATATTGATATGCATATAACCGTAGACCGCATGAGTCCACCCACGATTTAGTATATCATGGGTACACTGTTAAATTTGAGGGGGAGACATTATTCTCCCTTAATTATCCATTATTGCATTTTTTTATTTATTTCATTCTTATCATGATGATTTGAATTTTGCTCCAATTTTATTAGAGTTAGTCTACGTTGTATATATTTGTTATTTGCTTGATGAAAAAATCAGAGTGTTTTTTTATCACTAAGAAAGTTCCTCCTAAATTCCAAATGAAAATACGACACTAGATATGACGCATTATAGAAAAAGGAGCTGACCCCACTTAGAAGGCTAAAAGCTTGTTGCTGCTATTTTTGTAGTCTTATTATACTCACAACTGGTAATGAAATATCTGCTTGCCTTGCAAATATTGCATTCTAGATGATCCCTTAGAATTATGAAATGGAGAACTTCCCTATGGGATAAACTACAACAATAATCGTAAGCTATTACGTAGAACCTTCTTTCAACTCATGATTGCAGCATGTACAACTTTCCTAAAGTAATTTACTGTCAATCTTGATGACAAAATATAAGAAAAAATAAACAAAATGAATATATCACATTTGACTATATATTTCAGATAATATTTTGCAAAAGACAATATAAAGGTACTTAGTATACCTTCAAGACAAAAATGAAGGCTAGATGGAACCTTGAAACCATAAAATCTGGCAGATTGAAAAAAATAGATAAAAAATGACAGCACTCAAGCATGCATGTATAAAATAAATAATATACATGCAGATGGAAATATGAACAGAATGCTAATTCTATGCAACTGATCATGGAAATTCATGAGAATTCAGCTGAATAGAGGATAAATTAACCGTCTAATGAGTCTCAAAACAAATAAAGCATGCCAACAAAAAGATTAAATAGACAGGTACAAAGCAGTTACTACAATAGTGCTACACAGTTATAAACAACTAACAAGCTACCACAAAAGACAATAAAAATACAATTCAGATGCAATTTCGCTTTTATCATCTGTAAAGTCAGCCTGAGATAAACGCCAGCTAACAAGGAAATATTTTATTTTTCAAATTAAAATTAATCACTAGCATAAGTGCAGAAATGCCAAAGATAACAATCCAGGATATAACATACTGTGGCCAAGAAAAACCTCCAGGCGATCAGCGCACAGCTTTTGCAACTCTCCTGCGGGTACGTCATTTTTCAACAATGCCAAGACATAATCAGCAAGAATTTTAGGGTCTGCGGCAGTCCTACAGGAAATCCGTTAAACCAAAATGTACCAAAAGGTGTTAGAGCTGAAACTGAAAAAGAGAAATCTACGTAAGCAGCCCCAATTATTCTCAGCTGACACTTATGAACCCCGATCAACTCTAAAAACTAAAAAAAAATAAAAAATCCAATAAACCCTGCATTTGCTACAGGAGATCGCGGCAATAATTGCGAAAGGAACCGTAAAACTTGCTCCAACTCCTTGAGCAGGATTAAAAATAATGGCAGCAAGAGACTGTTTTAGAGGCTCCAACTCCTTAAGCAGGATTAAGCAATGTTACACTTGAAATTATTAAACATCAAATGATGACGAATAGGTAAACTTCCGAAGCTTAGAGAATCGATTGGGAGAACTTACAAGGGTCTGAGGTTGTTCACAAGGTATTGAGACAGCTCCTTCCGCTCAAAATTCATGTCAACAGACGTTATTCTCCCTCATCGGTGATCTGATAAGTTGTAACTTATGGCGGGGCAAGGGAAGCCGGGAACCCTAGACCAACAAGAGAACTGCGCCTGATGATGTAATATAGAAATGCGAACGGTAGGGGAGGCGAAAGATCGGCGGATGGCACTCTTGTAATAAAATTAGGTAAGATTTTATAAGTAATCGGATTTTAATCCACTGCAATGAATCAATTTCTCGGTTATCCCTTATTATTATTGGCGATTACCATATAGTCTCTATTTTTATTTTTCTTGAGTGAGATTTATTTTTCATGGGACAAAGTTTGAATTCAATATTATGAACATGTTGAGACTTGGGAGTACCTCAAATGAGCTATGAAGATTTTTACATGAAAAAATTATGAAGGGAAAACTATAAAGTTTCAAATAATATTGCATTATAATATACTAGTATATATCAAAATGTTGTTTGCACTTATCTCAATAAGATCTGATGGTCCAGAAGAAAAAGAGTACCTCGGGAGCAGACACATTAGAAGAAGACTGTGAGGCCCACCTGACCGATTGAGTCAAGTCATCTGAGTCGAGTCAACTGGGTCAAAACCAATCAAGACAAACTGTGGACAAGAAAACGACCAAGTGATCCAAAGTGTAAGTCATTCGACCAGAAACAAGATGAGTGCGAGTCATCCATTACAGAAAAGTAACTCAATGTGATAGCATATCTGGCAGCTGAGCCAACCCACTAGAAGAATCAATTTGACAAAGTATCTCTGACCATTCAACAGAAACCCAAATACTCCACACCAGAGATTGAAGATAGTCAACCAGGCTGGATCAGTTGGTCAAACTCACCGACCAAGCTCAGTCGCCTAGCCAACACAATCGAGCCAAATAAGTTAAAGCTTAGTCAATCGAGCTAGAAGGCAACCGAACAATAAACCAGTGTTTGTAAAATATCAGAAATATTGCAGTACATACCTCTCCGAATGGAAGTAAAATGTAAAATATCATAAATATTGTACTACTTCCTTTATAAATAGAAAAAATATTATATGAAGAATAAACATTATTCACCATTGCTCATCTCTATCTCTAATCTAAGCTCAATTCCTTATGTGTAATTCATTGATAATCTTGTATTCAACATCTTAAAAGGTATGGTGAACATTGATTATTCCACCAACAACAAAATAAGCAGTGCAAGGAAAATGATCTCACAAAATGGAGACCGACAACAACATGGAACGCACCAAGGAGTTTGTCGTCTGATAGATCCAATATTTAAAGAATTAGGTGTTAGAAATGATCAGGAGTGTGCTTTCGAGAGTGCTATTAGCAACCCTGACAAGACACTGGGCACCATACAGAAGAGTCCCCTAGATCATGAAAAAGGAGGCCAAAACCCAATATATGAACAGTGTCATGTTGACGTCAGTCGATCGACATCGGGTTAGGCATAATGAAACGCCGCATCAATCAAAAAATGTGTTCTCACCATAGATCAATGATTCCTTACTGTCAAAACAGTTCAATATCTCAATGCTTGAATCCTATAAGGAACAGATGGACTCAGCCGATCACATTGCTTCCATGTCTTCTCAAAATCAATGATGCACTGAAGTGTCAACTTTTCTTCACTTGATGTTTCAACAGATTACTATCAAGAGTAATCATATCATTCATAGACTTCAAATGAAAATTTGTTGCACGGTTTGTCAGTGCTCGGAAACCTTATTGGAGCTCGTAGGCTCTCTTGCAACTTCACTAACGATAGAGAGAAACTTACGTACCTTTGTCACTCATTTTCAGAGGGAAATGCTAGAGGGTAAGGATTTAAAACCCATGGTCGCTCGTGCAGCCCTCACATAAGGATTTAAGGAATGAAATTTACATCATGCGAAGGGATTTCAACGACCAGAGACTGTAGTCAAGTTGTTGGAGCTAGCTAACGACCATATATCGCAACATCAAGAACGATCACCCACAGAAAATGTTAAAATCTAGGAAATGACTTGTATTCCTACCTAAGCTCACTTCAAAGATTCAAAGAGCCACTCGGATAACTGGATGACCAATAGAACCCATTACCAAGAAAATGAGTCTAATGGCCCAAACAATGACCTCCTCAAAATGAGCAGCGACTGTAGCGTGCTTACGAGATACCTAAGGACCTAGATAATGGAGACCATCTAAAACAAGGACCACATCAAGAAGGTGACCACGATGAAATTCGTAGCATATCTTCAAAACTTGAAGTAATATTGCACGAAACATGGTGTTCACAGTCATGACACTGAGGATTACCAACATCTTCAGAGCTTGATTGTTATTTGATCAAAGTCGGGAAGCTAGAGGAATTTATGGCACACAAAGCAGCTGCATAATGATAATGGATATCCACTATTGAATAAATTGTAAGCAAGCCCATTCAAGCCCACACAATACACATAGTTTACATAGTTCTTGAGGAGAGTCATCCAACCGAGCTAGGTTGAAGAGGTTTTGAACAAGTGAATAATGGGTAATAGCCCTGGCACCGTAACACAACTCCCATCTCTTTTACTGACGCATAGCTATCATCAAAGGGCAACTCATACATTGATGATACCATTGTCACTGCCCAGATTGTCTATTATATATTGGAAACAAACTCATCGACATTGGGAGCTCGGTGAACATCATCTTAAAGTCGGTATTTGACAGGATAAGTTTAAGCACCTCCCATTTTTCAGCCAGGCCAAGGCCAATCTACGGGTTCTCCAGAGAAAGCAAAGAAGCATTGGGCCTTGTCAGTCACCTGAGAATAAAATGAAGAGCAATTCACCTACATAAAAAATTTTGTCATAGTTGATTCTCCGCCCATATATAATGTTATATTTGGTCGCCCTCTGCTCAAATTCTTCTAAGTTGTCTCCTCCATGTACCACTTAGCTTTGAAGTTTTCGGGAGATGGGGAGATGATCATTGTCTTAGGTGAACTGGAGCAGTCCCGCATTCAGTATCTTTGTGCAATTGGAAGCATTCATCAAAAATCTCTCGACCTTTATATCTAATAAGGTGAAGACCTTCAGACCAGTGAGATAACCCAAAAGGTCTCTACAAAACAACATTGGCAAATTTTTCTTACTGAGCAATGCATTCGATGTAGCTCATAAGGAAGAGCTAATCGGTACTCTTCAAAGTCAATGAGATGTCTTCATTTGGTTAGTTGTCGAGATGCTTGAGGTGTCGGTTGACATCGCTTGCCATATGTTGAATGTTAATCTTGCGGTCCAAACCATGAAGTACAAAATAAGAACGTCGACAGTCGCGTTGTCATTGTAAAGCCCAAAGAACAACAAGCCCAATACTAATTTTTCAGAATAAACCCAAAGCAACAATGTAACTTAGCATTAAAAAAAATAAAAAACATAAGTTTCTCACACTAAATCCTAAGAACAGAGGATACTCAACAGCTCAAACAAACGGATTACTCAGAATCAATCCGTAGAACACAAGTTTCACAGCCTAAACTGAAAGAAAATAAAATACTCAACAAGAAGCTCATAAAATCGTATATCATAAGAGAATGAGAGGGATGAGTTGAGCCTTAAGTGTTTGAACCCGATGAAAAATGAGATGGAAAGATAAATATCTTATAGTTTTATTTTTGGATATATTCAAAGGAGACGTGCAACCAAACAAAGAAGATCAATAAAGACAACTGAGCAAGTGTTCAAAAATGTTAGGATGGTACCTAAACCAAAAGAAAATAAAATACCCAACAAGAAGCTCATAAAATTGTATATCATAAGAGAATGAGAGGGATGAGTTGAGCCTTAAGTGTTTGAACCCGATGAAAAATGAGATGGAAAGAAAAATATCTTATAGTTTTATTTTTTGATATATTCAAAGGAGACGTGCAACCAAACAGAGAAGAGCAATAAAGACAACCGAGCAAGTGTTCAAAAATGTTAGGATGGTAATGCGAAGAGAGTCATTGAGAAGGTGTCAAGATGCAAGGGAGAAAGACGAACCTCAATAAGGTTCTTTATTATGCAAATGCTTATTTATATGTTGGTGGTTCCGTGAACGATGTCATGAATATCGGCCCATACAATGCAAACTCGTGGCGCAGAAACATAATGCTTTCAAGACACTGACCCAAACACATCTCACATCTCTACCACTCACTCTAAGCTTTGGTATGCGTTCTTATTTCCTATCTATATATATCTTTCAAAAAAAAATTTTTTTTTTGAAGAGAATGTGATGAAATAAAGAGCACTTGTAATCAAAGTTTTTGTATGTGATTACTGGATATTGGAAATAGATCTATTCAAGCCCGAAAGCCTTATGACTTTCTCAAAAATCTGGATGTCTTCTCCCCTCCTCGACATTCTCGTGGCGCAGAAACATAATGCTTTCAAGACACTGCCCCAAACACATCCCACATCTCTACCACTCACTCTAAGCTTTGGTATGCTTTCTTATTTCCTATCTATATCTATCTTTCAAAACAAAAATTTTTAAGAGTTTGTGATGAAATAGAGAGCACTTGTAATCAAAGTTGTTTGTATGTGATTACTGGATATTGGAAATAGGTCTCTTCAAGCCCGAAAGCCTTATGACTTTCTAAAAAATCTGGATGTCTTCTCCCCTCCTCGACATACTTTGTTTGTTGCTACATACTCCCTATTTAATATTTTAGTGTTGGCAAAATAAGTTAGTCATTATGATTAAAAAATGCATTCATTACGAACAATCATATTGTGATTTTTGGGTAAATAACGAATGATTCAAACTCGATTAACATGTCTACCCACGCCAGACTACGATGTCATGTGTACTAGTGAGAGTGGTGTTTCTTTCAACATCTATCTAGTTATCTCGCACTTGAGAGGACGTGGGTGTGTGTCATACCGTCAATGGAGCGGTCACCACTGAAGGGATGGGCCGATCATGAGCATAAATTTTTAAACTTTGGCAGATTGAGGATTACAATCATTCGTTGGGGTGAAACTTGGGTAATGAATGCATTGTTAGTATTTATCCTATAATGGGCGATAGGTCGGGTGAGAGAGGGAGAGAGGGAGAGACAGAGGCAATCCATCTTAGCCTCTCAAGCTAATAATTGAAGGCATTTTCTAGAATTTTTGTTTAAAATATATGAGTGTAC